GAAATAGCATATTCATTTAAAATATGCATTATATTCTGAACCATATTCCACTTCTAAGAATCTATCTTAAGAAAGATATTTGTTCTTAGAGTTACAAAAACACCGTTTGCTTTCTGTTTGTCATTGCTTTCTGTGGTTTACCTAGAACATCTTTGCCTTGCTCCAGGTTATGCAGATATTCTCTTATGTTTTCTACTAAAATTTTTATAATTCTAGCATTTTCATTTAGATATCTGATCCATCTTAAATTAATTTTGTATACCTGTGAGAAAAGTATGGAGTTTTGTTTTTTCTTTTCATACTGATAACCTATTGTTTAGCATCAGTTACCAAAAATATTTTACTTTCAATTTGAATTGATTGGTGCCTTTGAGGAAATTATAAATGTGGATCAATTTATGGGTTCTCTGTTTGGTTCCAATTTTATTTTCTACTTGTTGTACAAATACAAAACTATGTTGATTTCTGTAGCTTTATAGAAAGGGCTGAAGTCAAGTAGTGTTTGTCCTACAACTTCATCATTCTTTTTCACCTTTTTGGTCAATTCTATGTTATTTGCATTTCCCTATTCATTTTAGATTTAGATTAACAATTCCTATTAAAAATCCAGTAGTGATTATTATTGAGATTGCATTAAGTCTATAGATTAATTAGGTGTTATTTTTCATATTAACGATATTTTGCTTTCCTCCATGAACACTTTATCTCTGTCCTTTTACTTGGGTCTAAATTAACTAAGCAATCTTTTGTATTTTTCAGTGTAGTAATTTTTCCCAGTCTTTGTTAAATTTATTTCATTGTACTTTAAACATTTTGAAGCTATCTTAAATGGAATTTTAAAAATATTTTCCAACTGTTTGTTGTTTCTGGTATCTAGAATACAATTGATCTTTTAAAAGTTAAATTTTATTCCAGAACTTTGTAAATTTGCTTATTAATTTTAGGAATTTCTTTGTTAATTTTTACGACTTTCTACATAAACAATCATGTCTGAGATTAAGGATTGTTTTAACACGTCCTTTCTCATCTATATACTTTTATTACTTTTTCTGTTTTCTGTCCCCTCCATATTATGTTAAATAGAAAGGATGAGAGAGAACCAAAACAACCCAAATGTTCACCAACAAGTGAATAGAAACATAATTTATGGTATATTCATATAATAAAAAGCTACTTAGCAATAAAAATAAATGAACCATTGATACATGCAATAATGTGCTTAAGTCTCAAAATCATTTAGGTCAGTAAAAGAAGTCAGAAAAATGAATACATAATATATGAATTTATTTATATAAAATTCTGGAAAATACAAACTCATCTATAGTGAAAGAAAGCATATTAGTGTTTGCCTGGTGATGGAAGGAATGGTGGACAGAGGAAAGCAGGATGCAGGAAATGCAAAGGGACACAAGAAACTTTGCAGGGAGGCGTGTGTGATACATTTATTTTCTTGATTGAGGTGATGGTTTCCACTGGTGATGTCAATTTTTTTCAGATTTTATACTTTAAATGTAATTTATTAAAAGTGAATTATAAATCATTATGGCTATAAAAATGTTTAAAAAATGTAAAAAAATAAACCCACCTGGAAATTAAAATCCTTCTTCTGAACAATTCTTGGGTAAAAAGAAAATGTAAGTTATTAAAACATATTACAATGCCTTTGTAAGTAAGTTATATAGTATGGGTACTTGATTAGAGAGTCAGACTAATGGAATAAAATGGCAAGTCCAGAAATAGATACAACCATATTTAGAAATATAGTACGTGACAAATCTGATATCTCGATCACTGGGTAAAAATATAATTTTAATCATTGTTAGGACAACTGAATAGCCATTTGGAAAAAAATACAATTAGATCCATTTCTCACACTATACCCAAGTATAAGCTTCAAACAAATCATAACTCTATGGGTATTCCATTAAAATATTTCATATATCAATTTTATTCATTTCTATTGCTGAGTAATACACTAACAGGCCACGATTTAACTATTCTTCTGTTAATGTGCATCAGAGGTGTTTCAACTTTTGATTATTAAAAATGAAGCTTCTGTAAACACTCATGTACAGGCCTTTCTGTGTACATAAGTCTTTGTTTTTCTGGGATATCCGGGAGTTCAGTAACTGTGTCATATGGTAGCTATTAATCACTTACAAAGCTAATATGAAGGTTAAAGACAAAAGTGACTAAAAATAACTATAACTACAGCAATTAGTAAAGGTATACACAAAATAAAAAAAGATATAAAATGTGACATCAAAGTATAAAATGTGGGAGAAGGGGAGTAAAAGTGTATATAGTTCTGGAATGTGTTCAAACTTAACTTGCTATCAACTTAAAATAGACCTTTTTATGTATAAATAAATGATATAAGTGAGCCTGATGGTAACCACAAAGCAAAAATCTATAGTAAATACACAAAAATAATGAGACTGGAATCTAACTATAACACTAAAGAAAGTCATCAAACCACAAGGAAAGAAAGCAAGAGGAGAAAGGAAGAGAGAATAACTACAAAACAGCCAGAAAACAGTTACCAAAATGGCAGTAAGTATATACTTATCTATAATTACTTTAAATGAAAATGAACTTAATGATTCAATCAAAAAATATAAAGTAGCTGAATGGATTAAAAAACAAAACCCATCTGTATGCTGCCTATAGGAGACTTCAGTTATAAGGATACACACAGACTGAAAGTGAAGGGATGGAAAAAGGTAGTGCATGCAAAAAGAAACCAGAAGAAAGCTGGGGTAGCTATACCTATATCAGAAAGCAGACTTTAAAATTAAGACTGCAATAAAAGACAAAAAGGGCATTACATAAAAGGTCAATCCAATAAGATATAACATGAACCTAATCATTAGGAAACATAAGGCAAATGCAAAATGGGAAATTTTTCCAAAGTTGGAAATTGGTTTATTAAGAACAAAGAGAGAAGTGAATTCTTCAAAAATGTCATAAAAGCCAAAGAACAGCTATGGAATTTCCAGATTAAAGGAAACCAAAAAGATATGACAGTCAAATGCAACAGCTGACCCTAGGTTGGATACTCTCCTAGAGGGAGAAATGCTATAAAGAACATGCTTAGTTCAAGTGGCAAATTGGAAAATGAATAATATATTAGATTAAGCCTATATTAGTGTTAAATTTACTGAGGTTGATAAAAGTACTTGATTATATAGAGAAATATCACTACTCATAAAATGTATAGTGAAATAACCACTAAAGGGACATGATATATCTATATTATCCTCAAATGGCTCCTGTCTCTCTTTCTCTGTCTCTCTCTCTCTCTCTTTCTGTCTGTAGAACAAATTATAAAGCAGATAGACTAAATGTTAATGATAAATAAATCTAAGCAGAGGACATAGAGGTATTTTGTATTATTCTTTTTCTTGTGACTTTCCTGCATGTTTGAAGTTATTCCCAAATTTTAAAAAGTTTTTTTCAATTAAATACTTTCCATAGTTGCATAAATTAATAAAACTGAGCCCTGAAAAAGTTGTTAGCCATTGACTTTCCTGTTCTCTCTCTTGCTGTCCTAATCTGAAAAATGGGGATAATATTATTATCCACCTCATGACGTTGTTGTGAAGGTTAAAAATATTAATAAATGCAGAAGATGCTTAGAAAGTGCCTGGTAAGTAGTAAGCACTCAATAAATACTAGCTTTCATTGTGTGCTTGCTGTGATGGTGGTGGTAGTGATGGTTAGTACCATTATCATTGTTAGAGACCAAAGCTTAGGGATCAAGAGACTTCATGCAGATCAGACTGACGCCTAGTACCTTGATTCTCATTCTGCTCTTTTCTACTGTGTGACATTTCTTGATTTGAGTTTGGTCTAATATTGCTAGTGGCAAACCCTGATTTGAAGGAAGACAATTCCAGCCTTTAATTCCTTTTGGCAGATATAGGACATGGTAAGCAATATATGTTCAAGGACAACTTCTGTTCTGGCTTTACAGATGTGTTGGTTCTAGAATCTGAAATAAAAGGGAATAGCTCCAAGTTCAGCAGTGCAACTTGCTAATATCATTTAGGGTACAGACCCTGAAAAGGCTCCTTTGTGTCTCATAGAGCCTTGCACAATTTTTTGGCAATTTTTTAAAAATCCGTAATTTATGGTTAACCCTTTATAGCTTACAAAGCATTTTCATGTGCACTTCAATAATTCACTCACAGCACAGGGCTTTCCTCATACTTGGCATTGGATTAATGATTAAGAAAAACCTGAGTTGGATTCTGCCTCTAGTCCCAAACATTTACACTTGTGACATGGAAGCCCTGATTTTGAAAGTACTTCATTAGTTTAAACCATCATAATTTGATTGTTATAAATCCAAGTCTGCATCTGATAGATTTCTACGGGGTAAATGTTCTGAATTGCCTTCTAGGTAAGAGCCTACCCTGCTTAGGAAAATAACGTGGAAAGTTTTTTGTTTGTTTGTTTTGTTTTTGCTTTTTTTTAAAAAAGTTTTTTAACTTAGGGACTCATCCGTTAGACTTTATGCTCAAGACATGGGAGCTTAAAGGGAAAAAAATCAATTCTAAATATAAAATGTTGAGTAGAGATATCTATTTTTGTTGTTGTTTATTAATTTCATTGCTTATGAGGAAAGCACTTGTCTCTATCTCAGGCTTGATCCCATCTCCTTTATTAGATTGATTGTTAATACTATTGAGGAGTGAGTTGTTCAGCCAGCATCCCCAGCAGCAAGGTCAGTGGACTGATTCTTCAGCGGGGAGGATGGGGTCCCGATAGAGGAGCCTGCTTCCTGCACGAGCATTTTAAGTATGCAGAACACATCAGCTCAGGCTGAAACTGGCAGTTAGTGCACACACACACACACACGTATACGCGCGCACGCGCGCGCGCGCACACACACACACACACACAAACACACACACACAGAGCGCAGCGCTTTCCCCTCAAGTGAGGCGGCGGCGTTAGTAACTGCAGTCCCAGAATCCTAGGCTGAGCGACCAGCGGCCACTGGCTGATTTGTTGGAGGAGCGCTGGAGCCCAGTTTCTGAGGGACCCAGTGACACGCTGCTGTCACAGCTAGTGGCAGACGCAGACAGCTACTTCTTCCCCGCTGCTTCCCCAGCCCCTGGCAAGAGGGCACCCTCTTTCAAAAGCCAGGCAGCCCGAGGAAGATGCTGCTCCGTGCTGAGAGCGCTTCCTAGTCGCTTTCTCCTAACGTGGTGCCTGTGACCTCACCATCCGCTTTCAGGTAGGCGCTTGCAATTTCTTGTTTTTAGGTAAGGGAAACCCTTCTCAATCACAGCATTTACTTTAACAAAGACTTTTTCACTATGGGAAGCAGCACAATAAGGTCTTGATAGTTAAGGAATGATTTTTCTGATTAAAGTTTAGATGCAGATGGTAACTCTACTCTCTCCCCACCTTCACAAATCTTTTGCAAATATGGAACTCGGCTTCTACATTGAGCACGTGTGCATTTCTCAGCTTTTGAGTTGGTTGACAATTGTTATGCAACTCTAGATGTGTAATTTAAAGACCTTTAAATATTTTCTTCTCCAGCGGTGAAAAACATACCTGTCTTCAAAAATAAAAGACAAGTGATTCAAACTCTTCCTCAGCATTTAACATTCAGTGATGTAGACAGGAGTGAAAGTTGCTGAATCACAGAAGTTTAATATTCATGCAAATTGCTGTATTGGTGAGAGAAAGCCAGGAAGCAAATATCTTTTCATCTTTCTGAGCTCTTATACATATCAGTATAATGTGGCTTTGAAGTAGGGAAGTTTTGCATTGAGATAAGTCTGTCTGTTGTGATAAGGTGGGTAAATTAATTATTTGACAAGGTAAAGAATTCGCTGGAGGGGATTTCTTCTAAAATGAGCTAGGTTCTAGGATCGCATTCTTAGCTAACAGATCTATCATCATAAAACTCCAAACAAAAGTATGGTTTCTTGATTTGAGTATCCTTGCCTTAGTGACGTTAATCTGCATGTTATTGCCCCTAACATTTCTTGACTTGTTTTGTTAGCCAAAATTCTAAATAAAAAAATTTAATAGAGAAAATTTTCAACATTTTATCGTCTCCATCCCTTAATATTTATTGTAACTGTTTCATGCATATCATCCCACAGGAAGTTTTGAGAGAATAATAGCTATCATTTAGGCATCTGAATTGAAATAATCATAAGGAAAATGTTTTTTAGGAGACAGGCATCCTATATGTCAGGCTCACAGTACCTCTGAGTTTTCATTGAGTTCAAAAGTGAGCTTTTAAAGGAGTTTGTGTATAAGCAGCAAATTAATCAGAGGATGTGGGTTTTTGTGACTGTTTTTACAGGCCAGCTTTGCATTCTGCTGCACTTGTAAAAGTTAGTGTCTTTTTTTCATTACCCTTCTGGGAAGTGCCTCTAAGCTACCGCATGTCTTGATGTCATGTCTGTCTTGATGTGGATGACCTCGCTTCTTATGTGGGAGCATGGCACGATTTTAGGCAGATATAGGGTTATGCTTGAAAGTAAAGATAATCCATGGGCTCAGGAATTTTCAAGCTTGGACAGCCAGATACTGTCTCCTCTGATAACTCTAAGGACCCTTTGAGAAAAAAAAAAAAATCACACACACACAAAAACCAACCAAACAACACACACACACACACACACCCCAAAATAACGTGTGTGAGGCTATCTGCTGCCTCTTTGGAAGGTAGAGGAAAGAAAGAAGAGTGGCCTCCTTCACTTGTCATTAATGTTTAATGCAGCTGATCCCTCTGAAGTTCTCAATAGAGATTTTCAGTCCTTGACAAATATTTAACATATATTTCCTGTCATTGCTTTTGGCTCCCATATCTATGGTTTTTACACTGGCTACTCTTAAAGTTATTTGGCAAAATAGATTCTACGTCTGCTATCTAGCAACAAACACACCAAGAAAGCACAACTTTACTTTTTGCTACTTCACACTTGGATTCATATTCAAACTTGGGATAAACCTGCTCATATTACTTTTTCCATGTTGCTTGTGGCACCTGATGGCTCAACCCAAGGTATTGATATTACTCCTAGTAAAGTCAGGAGATCAGAAGCAGCAAGGGGGCTAAGGGCACATAATTCTTTTTTTCTTTTTTCATGTCAGGTGGGTGGTGTGTACTTGGAATGGAATCTTGGAGTGGGGGAGAGAACACTCTCTTTTTGTTTTTCTTTTACCAATGATGCCCAATTCAGCAAGCGACGTGAGAGATCCAAAGATGTGATCTTAACCAGGCCTTCTGAGGAGGTGAAAGGTAATTTAATTCAGTTGTTGAGCTACTTTTTTCATTCTTGGTTTCCCTCAGTCCACCTTTTTTCTCATGTAGATTTGTGAAGCAGGTAAAGGGTTAGCCAGTTGCTTGCACATTATGGATCACCATTCAGAGCTGTCTTTGCTGAGAGGGAATCAATTTCATTTTATTTGAAGCCAGAGGTGATGATCCTCTGTCACTGTTGGCTCCTGGTCACCAGCCTTCTTAATTTTAAAACACTTTTTTTTCCTCCTCTATATCTGACAGCCTTTCCTGGATAGCTTGGTGAATTAGTGTCTTGGGGAATTTTTAAAAGTAAAGCCCAGATGAACAGTATAGATTAATTCAAAGAAGTGGGTTAATGTTCAGTACTGTCATATCCCATACATTTCAATTCTCAGCAGTCAATGGGGTAAGGTTGGTAGTGCTGTCCACAGGCATTTCTAAACATGCATGATGACTTTGCAGACCTATGCTGACCAAGGTAAAAGGAAGAGAAGGAAAAAAATACAAGCAAAACATAAGCTTTCATGAAATGCAAACAGGTGCTGAATAGAGAGAAAGCCATGTAGTTATACTCACAAGTTGATTTTCCCCAAATTGCCTTGGATTATACACTAGCTCTAACAATGGCATATTGTATGCACCCTTCAGGGCTGCACTGAGTGATAGCTGTAAATTAGAATGAAGAGAAGAAAATGCTCTACAGTTTCAATATTGAAGAGAATTAGGATCCAGATGGTAAAGCTTTTTATAGCAATACATTGGATGGTGTTACAAGCTTCTGTGGCTACTGTCCTATTATATTCTCTCTGCTAAAATGCAGTTTGGTGGAGAAATTGATTGTAAAGAGCCATCTTGCAAACCTAGGAAAGTGAATTTCCTCTCCATTTTAAATTTCCCATCTTTGTTGGCTTATTTTTATTTCCCTAATTCTTAACTTTTCTTCTGCTCAAATTCCAAATACAATCAAAAATACTGTGATTGTTTTTTTAATTTTAAAGTGGTACTTTCCTTTCTCTCTCTCACTCCTTTTTCACACTGGGTATCTTTCTCATATTATGAGTGTATTTGAAAAGTATATGAGGATGTTTGGACATGGATGTAGAATAGTTATTAAGTTTCCATCTGGCTTTCTAAATGTCTCTAGTCTAAGAACAACTCTTCTAATTACCCTGTCTCTGTAAAGACAATTCTCATGAGAGTTGATGGGGACTAGCACAGACATTACCTTGTCAAGACTTTAATTTTGCTTTGAAGGGATCCTTTTTTCTCCTTTCTGTTCTCTCTGGTGAGAATCTCATTGCCTCCAATCTCTGGGACCACGGAGACATCTCTACTCAGGCATAAATATAGAGAGTGAGCCACCTAGTGGTGACGAAAAGTAATTTTGATATTCTTAGCGGAGCCTTGCAAGTTGATGGACGGGCATGGCTAATTCTGTTATATTGCAAAAGTGTGTTGGTTTTGTGAAAGCTTCCTTTAATGGTATTTTCTGCTTTCAAATCAATTGCTTGGTTACAATACAAATTTCTTCACTTTATGCTTCATAACCTGATATGACCTATCTCTTTTACCTCAAATTTTACTTCTTGTATGCATATATTTTAAAAATATGTTTGTTGTTTTTCATGTCTTTAATAATACATATTTTATACATATGTTATACATATTAAAGTATCAAGATACTTCAATAAAGGAAATACTTTATAAAGAAAGCAGTAAAATGACATGTTTCCCCAGGGTATTTACACTGCATTTTGAATAGCTTGTATATAAAAATAGGTTAATATATCTACATGTTTATACTTGAGAAAATATTCTTATATCTTTGAAAATAAATATATGAAGAGGATAAGGGAAAAATGTATACATACACACATCAATGTATGCCTTTGTTTTATATCAAAATAGGGTTATTAGGTTTCATTTTCTACTTTTTAAGACTGACTTAGCTAATCGGTTGTCAAGTCTACAGCAGCCCATGCCTTATTTCCTTATTCCTTTTCAGATTAGCTCTCTCTGTACTTCAGATCAGGACTTGCATTAGTATAGGAGGCTTATATGTTGGATGGAAACAACTCTTTGGAAAGGTTGTGACTGAGGGTATGCCTTTGTGAAATGGAATTCTCCAAATACATACAGAAGTGTGAAGGTACTGTGCAAATAAATAACATGATTATTCTAGGTGATTATTTTCAGTTTAGAAGAATTGGGAGTAGGTGGGGGAGATCTTGTTAAACCAGAATTTGTTCTAATTGCATTTTACTCTGAGCAAAAAGAAAAACAAATTTGAGAAGTCCAATGGCAGGTAATTGGGCTCAATCTTTCAATCACAATTTAGCAATGGCGCTATTTAGAGAACATCCTGGCTGCGATCAAGGGTGTCAATTTGCTTTCTAGGTCTTAAATCCAGTCTCCTAGGCAGCCCCCATCTTATCCATGCTGTTCTTCAACTCACTCATTTATTGGGGCACTCAGCCAAAATAAACTAATAAGTCTCTGTGTGCATTCTTTTAACACAAATAGCAGAAAGACATCGTTGTGAAAGTTTTCCTTCCAAGGAAGTTACCTATAGCTTGAAATAAGAACACAAACATAAATGAATGATTCCTGATTTAATTTCAAGAAGTTATGTAATGCTCCACTTGTTTGAGACTTAAATTCATATATCTTATTCCATTTATTGTTATTAAAGTAAAATGAGGTAGAATAAAATTGTTCTATTCATCAGGGGCCAACTCCTAAGTCATTGTGAGGAAATATAAAGAGCACATTAAAATAGTTTCAATATAACAGGTAATAACCTTGAATATTCCAGCCTTTAGAAAATTTCCACTAAGTTAGGTGTTCCTGAAAATTACTTAAAAGTTTGTGATTTATCTATGACTTTTCATTTGAGGCTTTTCCCGTGTGCATCAGTGGTGGGAAGTGCAATCTTGATCGGAATTTGTGTGATTTTTCTCAACCCA